GTTGTTGTCCTGTCGTGCCAAACTAAAGCGCTGTTTGTGTTTGCATCTGTCGCTGCCTTCCAAGTTGGAAAAAAAGCGAACGTAATCACCACTTTGTTTCAGAATGACATCCACTAGGTGGCATTTAGTCTCCACTTGCCCGACCAGCCTCCCCTATGAATGAAAGAAGTTCCGGCGTATCGTGTTGCTGCAGAACAATGAGTCGTAATTGGAATGACAGTGGTGGTAACACCGGGGCGACCGGCGCTAGTTTCCATAGGTCTGACAGCGAGCTGGAATCTTATAGGACCCAAAAACGACGTGTGGAAACTGGGTCCCATCAGCACATCTGCATTATTTAGAGCTGTGGATGACGTAGACGCCACCCTGATGGCTAATATGTACGAGCTATAAGATGGAGAAACTTTCTGTGTTAAAGTCTTTCTAGGATGTTGTGGTTTCCTCCGTGAAAAACTCTGAGCTTCATGTGCTCTCGCAAAGTGCATGAGAAGATCCTTTTGTGCTCACTTAGAATCAACGATGTGTTTCATGTTTGATAAAGAAACCAAAACCTTGCTCTAGCCTCAGGTCATCCTTAAATCTATAATTCCATACTACCACCAACACAATACTCCCAAGAGTTTAGAAACCACACAAACACTCAAGTAAAATTAACCACAGACAGATGTAATACTGGATCATGTCACACGTTGTCCTTTACACAATAACAAAGCCTCTCTCCTCCATTCTCATATTTTTCAATGGCGGCCGTGTAGTTGACGAAGCGAGGCGCTAGTCAGATGCATTTTTCTATACTGTTAATCCTAGCCTCTGGATAGGCAAAGGCAATTTCCCATTTTCTGTCCCCAAAATGGCTAACAACAATAATGCAGCGGGATGTTTTGGGAGTGTGCTGAGGCCTGAGCAATATGTATATGTATGTATACAGATAGAACACACACACACTTTAACTGGTGGTTGTATCCGTATCAGTAAAGGCCAGATTGGATATCGGTACCAGTCCGTAGCCAGAAGGCCAGTACTGTTTATCATATTCCATTTGTAAAGGCAGGGAGACGCCTGCTTATGAGGCATAATGTAAAATGAAGGAGAGAGCGATAGAAAGAGAGAAATATTGGAACAAAGCATAGCAAGTATGAAGAAGGAAACAACTTAAATCTCTGTGTGTTTGGGTTTGTACTCTGATTAGTAAAGCAGAAGTTCCACCAGCCTTTATTTAAGGATGTTTATTGGTTTTTGTTATTTTGGCTATTTAAAATCTGTTAACCAATACTTCGTAGACAAGGGATGAAAAATGTGTTGTAGGTTAGCTGTAGTACCTGGTTGCACCACCAGATGGAGCCTCTTGCTGTTTAATAAGACGGAAGACTTATTTGCAATTTAATACTGTTGCGACACGAGGAGGCGGTTGCTCAAGCTACCAGCAGCTCCGTGTTAGCAAGCAGAGAGCATTGTGGGATTTTAGCTTGCATCGGGCGCCGTGACAAAGACTTTGGTGGCGGTTAATGACTTCCGACCTCAGCTCAGGTTTTGTGTATGAGGGCAGTGCTCCTATGATCGAATGGCTGCTGTTACATGTCCTCGGCCAAAACGGTTTATCAGCGAAAGGAAAAAATGCGCAATATACTTTTGTATTAGCGATTAATGGATTAGGAAAATTCTGTGAAATTAGCATCCCTGCCTTTATTCATTTAACAGAAGAGTCAAAATCGTAGCTCTTGTTAGCGTTCTACACTGGCGTACATTGTAACCCATTTCAAGGTCTCTGGAGATCATCACTACAATATTCTTCAGAGAGATGTTTCAGGAAGTCGCAGCTTCTGGCCTCCTGCTTTAAAACATGTAATATTTTTAAGAAGCTCACTTCCTCCATGTCCTCTTGATTTCTTTAATGAATAGTGACAGCATTACGAGGATCGGTCTACTCTACATCTCTATACAGAAAATTCTACTCTCAGAATGGATTTTCTAACCAGAAGCTATCTGTCCATAGCACAGGTTATATCTAAAACTTAGGCATAGCAGTCTTTTACTGTAAAGCAGGTGTACATAAACCCAAAAGTCTGACATGTTGCTCGCCTGTCTGCACTGACAGTTAAGCTAAACATGTGATTCCAAACGTCCACAGTTTTTTTTATGCCTTCAGAAGGTCGTTTCATATTGTCTAGAGGCGAAAACGATGAATGATGTTGATCAGTCACTTGGGTTAGATGTTAAATATGTTAATCGATGAGCTGATTCCACTCCCTGGAAGTTCATTAATTCTTCAAAAAACCACCTCAAGTAATCTTAAAACCTTTTTATTTTCATTACATGTGAGTGAACGCTTATTTATACGCATAACAATACAATCAAAAGAGCGTTATGTCCTTACTTGATTTCTGTTTACGTGTTGTGTCAGATCACACAAACATCAACACAAATGACGGGGATAACAATGAACTGTTAGAAATGTGGTAAACTTAAGCCTTTGAAAAGATGGTTTCATTCTCTGGATCTCTATCATGTGGAGACGCAGTTCTGTATTGATCTCCATTTATATCGTGTTCCCTGGTCACGTAAATGCAACGGTTTCCACTATTATTCTAATAATCATTAGCTATTAGCTGGTCCGTTTGGCCCGCAGAGTTCTGTCAGTCACTTAAAATTGAACTTTGGAGCTCTGTCTGTTCATGTCACGCTAATACAGCTAATATAGTTGTCAGCTGTGTTTTAAAAACTTTATTCAACAGTTGACAGACAGAACAGAGAAGGTTTAGTTGGTTTAGGACATAGTTAAGTTTTTCATTTTACATTTTTCTTTTAAACTATATATAAGTCCTTGCTTTTTTTTTAAACAGTTGGAAAGAAGTATTCTCAATCCTTTTTCCCAGCACTCCTTTCTCCTGTCCTCCTCACTCTTTATCTCTCTTTCTGTCTCTGTCTTTGCCGCTGTCTTTTTTGGTTTTATCAGCGTCTCTCTAAGGTGTGTTCCCTTCTCCCCGTGGGCATTCCCCTGGGCTCACACACACTCACACACACACACACACACACACACACACTCACACACATACACAGAGTGCATTAGGGTTGCTGTCATTTACAATACAGCCCCATTGTCCCGGCCAAACAATAGCTACAAACAAACAATTGACATGGAAATGGAGAGATGTAGCTCATTAGCGGGCGCTGCTTGTTTTGTTAATGGATAAATGGGCGGCTTCAATAGGCCAGCCCTAAAACCCCTGCCTCAATATGGAGAAGCCTGATTAACAGGAAACCACAGGGAGGGAGCACAGTGACGGAGAAATGCAGCTACGCTCTCCCTTGGGTCGTATGTGGTGGTGTGTGTTTGGTGGGGGGGCTTTAAGGAGGGCAGGTGTGTGTGTGTTCGGCGTCGGGCGAGTTCACGCGTGCAGGACGGGGTTTGGGTGAACTCAGTTTGTGCGCCTTCAAAGTTCTGCAGGACATCTTCTTTCCACCTTTGTCGAATCCAGAATCAGCTGCTTCTCGACAACGTTTCTGATTTCTAACAACGCTGCCTCATCAGCCTTTCAGAGCTCCTCTCAAAACACGTGTCGCTTTGTGTTGTGATTTTAAATGACCTGTCCTGGACATTTGTTTATTTCTGCCCGTTCTCTGTATGCGGTTTGTGACCTGTGCAGTGAGTCTGTGCTTCATCAGTTAAGTGCTTGTCAATTGACATCATCAAGGTTTTCCCATTTGCTCTGTGAGTGTGTGTGTGTGCACGGAGGCCCGTCGCTATCAGCAGGATCAGATTGGATCGACCTGAAAATGGCATTTCTGCCATTGCTCTGATGGTGACGGCTCAATACTGTATCTGTCTAGTGCCGAGATGATGTATGTGTGCCTGTCTGTATGCTCCTAACTCCGCAGTGCACCGAGATGTGTTCGTCTGTTCTGATCGCAAAACTTTTTATTATGTATGTTTGTAGGAGCATCATGTGAAGGTTTCCTTTCTGTGCTGCGTCTGAACCCCCAAAACTCTCCAATGAGTTTAAAAAGCATCCGTCTTAAAAACAAATCACAGAAATGACACCGTTTATCAGCCAGACACAAGTATGTGTGCCATGCAGTTCCATCTGGGAAATAAACCAAATCTAAGCCTAAAATTGTGACATTACATCTAAACTACTTTATTCTACATTTTTCTTTTTAAAAATAGCAGAAAATACGTTGTGTGCATCATCCAAGTCCTGTAGAAACAAAAAAACTGGTGTTCCACAGTGTGACCAAGGAGCCATGAGTAGGTCAGTCAACAGTCACATAATAAAGATTCAGCTGAACTGCAGGTTCAGAGTAAAAAACAACAAACTTAAACACTGAACTAATGCGTCATGGCTCAAATGTGGTGTAGAGAGGAAATAGCTGCTGAACAATACATCCAGCTCCATGAAATATGGTAAACAATCACCTGATTTATAGATGTTGAAAAAATGTAAGCGGCAAAATATCTTGAAGGATCAAGGATGTTTATTGTCGTTGAATTTCTACAACGAAACTTTGTCGGCGCTTTTATAAACAACACAGAGTTTGACAGATGACAACAAACAGCTCTATAGCATGCTTTTAGTTTGTATAGCAGCCATTTTTACAGTAGTGGTCACACCTGTGGGCACAAAAGGTGATGCATGTTGACTGAGATTTATTTTTTCAAATTTTAGACAGCAAGTAGTCCAAAAAAAAAAAAAAGATTTACTTTGTGATTTATGGCAGTATAACTGTGTAATACTGAACACAAGACAGGTTTGAGTTCTGTCTCCTTCTAGTCATGGTTGTGCTGTTTGAATAGAGGGGAAGGATTTTATACTGCAGAGAAAAATGAGCCCACAGTGACATAAAACATGACCGGAGCAAAACAAGAGTTGAGAGGGTTGAAACAGCCACAATGTGATTCGGTAGTTAGTGATACAGACGTGTCTACTAAAACTTCCTGATGAGTTTTTCTCTGGATCACATTTATATTAAAGTCCCTGAAACTGTTTTATTCTCGTGTGCAGGAGCGGGATGCAGAGCGGCGGCGACAGCTGAGGGAACGGGCCAGACAGCTGATCGCCGAGGCCCGGTCCGGAGTCAAGATGTCCGACATGAGCCTTCTGGATGCGTCGAGCACCGACAGAGGCAAAGGCAGCAAGGCTGGTCCTGCTGGAGGTCAGCAAACGCCTCAGCACTCACGTATGCACAAGGAAGCAAACAAACGTATAGGCTTTAGAGACACAGCATTTCCATTTCTACGTTGTTTATTCACAGTGGCGTGCTTTCAGGATTTCATTAAAAGGCCTTACAATTACCACACACTTACTAATACTCATTGACTGCAACACAAAGGGAAAGTCACAGTAGCATGCTTTTGACATTCACTCACTTTCTTCATCCACACATGCTAAGACTCCCACATTTCCATTATGCTCTCTAAAGGGGTTCTGCCTAATCCTCAGAGAAAAACAAAATGTCATTTGACAACAGCCGCGGGTCTAAAAAGCGCCACCCTCATATTCAGAAAACGCTGCAACTCCTCCCTTGTTTCGCTCGCCCAGTAATTGTTAATCAACACAACACATTGTGCGGCCAAATTACGCCCAAAATACCAAACACTTCTAATAACGGCTTGCAGAGGTGGCCAGCGCTGCCCATGCGCATTTCCCACTGCTTTCCATTTCCCTGAAATTGGGGTTATTATTGTAATGACCATTATTAGGCGTCTCTGGTCATTTGTTTTAGATTCCTCTGCATTACGCCCCTGCTCCGCTTCTTCTCTTCAGCTGGATCAGGTGCATGCAAATGAAAGGGGAGCGTGTAGACAGGTGAGAGAAGGCAATGAAAGAAGGAGCCTCTTGATATCGAGTAGGAATAAAGAAAGGATGGCTGGTTTAATGCCAGTACCATAGATGGATGTAAAGACTACACTGTAAAATAAATATCTGGTAAATAAGCGATGAAAATCTGGCAGCAAGAGTGCCAGAAAAATACATAAAAAACTGTAAAAATTAGGGAAAATAACAGCAAATACCTGTAAAATAATGATATTTAAGCCGACTTACACCGAGTAAAGCAGTGTTATTCTATGGTCACACTGTAGAAGAACAACGTACTATGAGTAAAAGTACAGATGTTTGACGTGGACATTATTATTACAGTTTTGGTGTGTATACTGAGAGGATTTTTTTGTGATTTTACCAGATAATTTCTGTAATTTACAAAGAAAATGTAGAAAATCTGTAAAATAACAGTTTAAAGAAGTATTTACCATTTTTCAAACCTCAATACCCTCAAATTTACTTTGAATTTACACAAATATATGTGAAAAAATTATGTTTTGGGCTCACACAAGTACAGAATAGGATCTTTGTTAGTAAGGTTAATAAGTAAATTATTAGTGTTTTTCTTGTGATTTAGCAAGAAATTATCTGTAATTGAACAAAACACTAAAAATCTGTAAAATTAGGAGTGAATATTTCTAAAAAATAAATTACAGGTTCAAACCTTTAGACCTTTTTTTTTGCTCTATATCCATTACTGAGACGTCCATTATCTCCATTAATTACATCAGCTGTAAGTGACAGAAGTAGTTTAAAAGCTGGAGGTGACACAGATTAACAGTCTCGTACAATATTCCTGAAGCTTTACTGTGATATAATGAAAAGAGAAGCTGAACATCATCACATTTAGCAGCTAGAAGCAGTGAATGTTTGTTGTTCTGGAGTTTACTGACCAACATGTTTCCTCTCATCTACCTTTTCTTGTGAAATCTGCTCATCAAGCTGCAACAATTAGTTGATTTTGTGATGGACAGAAAAACATTGCCAACTAATTTAATGATCAATTAACTTAATTCTCAGCATCTAGCTTCTGAATTGTGGAGATTTTCTCTGTTTCACGTTAAACGTTGGGGGGTGTTGATTGGACACGGCGCTGTCGTACCGTACGCCACCTCAGGCCTTTAAACATGTTCCTCTGACATTTCATACATCACATGATTCAAGGAACAAGGATGAGCAAATAAATCAAAACCTAATAACCCTTAAACACAAAGAGTTCAGCAGCACGGTGGCGAAACAACAGGAGGAAGACGGCGAGGCAGAGGGAGGATAGCACTTGATTTATTTGCTCTTTCAGCTTTTCTGAATTGGACTAATTGTTGATCTCATTAAAAATGGAGTTGGAGGAAAGAAGGGAACAAGGGGGGAGGCGGGGGGAGAGAGGACTGCTGTGGGCTGTGATACACAAGGCCTGCCGAGCAGAACGGCTAATCCTAGCCCCCACACTCGCTCCCTCCGTCTTCCTGCCTCTCTCTCCTCAGCACCATTCAGTCCTTTAAATGCAGCTCGGGCTGCCCCCTCCAAGTGTCTGCCCGCAAAGAAACTTTCCAAACTCCATCACCATGGCCTCCCATTAATTAGGCCTCAGCCAGCCACGCAGGAATGGCGCTTGCTAGCACGCTCCACATCGCAGCTAGCAAATTAGAAAAAAAAAAAAAAAAACAGGACGGGAAATACTGTTATTCTGACTCCCTCTCGTTCTCTCTTTGTTCTCGGTCTCTCTCCCCACAATAAATAGCAGAGGAGGGAGCTTTCAATGTCTGACACTGTTTACTGATTGTTTTGTTTTAATCCATGGTGGGTTATCCATGCAGCTAGAGCTGCTCAGGTCTCCATTTGACTTTCTTCTGACGTGCTTTTTTTGCTTTGTGCCTAATGTGGAGACACTGTTGTTTCTATCGAGCCCCTCAGGAGACTTAATGGAATATGTGCTTTCATGTTTTTGTGGTTTTTGTTTGCCCTGCCTCTTTTATCTGGAACAAGAAAGGCAGGCAACAGATCTGTGAGTGAGGGAAATTAAACAGAGGTCTCGTTTTCACTCTGCGTGTCAGATATTGTTGTGCACGTGAACACACACACATGGAGGCAATCAAAGTCCTTCCTCGTCACTCTGTCGGATTCTGCTGACTTTTCACACCGTTAGTTTTGTTTTGTGCTAGAAGGGCGACAATTAATCGAGTATTTTGATAATCGATTAATCAGTTTGGTCATTTTATAAGAAAGAAGTCCTGCACACACATGTCGATGCCAGACCTTCATCAGACATCCAGTTTGTGATTTTTATGTTCTGTATGTTGCTGAAAACTGTCAGTGTAGTTTCATGTTTTGTATTTCGGTGCATCGAGGATGTTCACGGGTGGCTGAGTTTGTCATTTGCCTGATTTGGGTCTAGCACTGAAACGTTGTGCTAATAAATGTGTTTTTACACGTTAGACAGTGTTCAGGACTTAAACTTATGTTCATCTCCTTCCTGTGCACCTGCCGAATGAAGCAGATTTACCAAAAGTACTTTTGTCTAAAGAATACAAAGTAAAAGTAACTAAAAGCGGCTTTTGAAGACGTCACAGATCGACATTTTTCCATATTTTCTTACATTTTATAGACCAAACAAGTCATCAGTTAATCAAGTAAATGAGCTAAAGACGAACTGACAATGACAACAAACATTAGCTGCCGTCATATTTGACACCAGATTGATCAGTGTTGTTTTCTATTACTTAGTTTATTAGTTTCACAACAACCTGACACAAACACACAAAGCTCCCACGAGTGTATTAATGTAATACAAAAATGTACTTTGAAAACTTTTGCTGTTGTATTAAAGGTAAGATGTGGGTGTAAGATAAGTTCTGGTGGATTCTAAGATGTTTAAAAAGGGGACAGTTGAATCAGGTCATTTAACATGTGTTCCTACCAAACACTGTTTCTCTTTGCTCTCCTCCCTTGTTCTACATTTGGGCCTTTCATGCCTCTAACACCCTTTGATTCCCTCCATACATCTTCACCTCCTCGTCCTCCTCCTCCTCACTTTGATGCTTTGTCGCTTTGGCTTCCTGCCTCTTATTTTTCCTTCTCTTCACCTTCGTGCCCACAGATGTTTTGGACAGAGTGAGAAGCCATCCAGAGGTTGATGGTGTTGATGGTGAAAGGGGTGAGGATGAGGAAGAAGGGAGGGCTGAGGAAGATCACTTCCACTTTGGTGTTGGTGGTGATGATGATGATGGTGGTGGTGCTGATGATGACGATGATGATGCTGCTGCTGCTGCTGCTGTTGGTGCTGCCACGCCTGCGCTGGTTACTAACCCACTGCCACTGGACGCTCTTCCAACCACCTCCAGCACGCAGGGGCCCCTGGAGCTTACTAACCCCGGCTCTGAGCTAACCTCTCTGGGTAAAATCACTGGCTGTGCTGTGTGGTGCTGCATGACTCACTGTCTGCTTTGGTTTCTCTGACTAACCCATTCACATGTTCCCTACGTGTTCCCCAAACACAACGGTTCACTCTTCTGCACAAATACAAGATAATCAGTCAGAGTCTTTATTAGTCACACGTTGGACAAAATGCCCGATAGACGGTCTGTTAACAGGAGAATCTGTTGAACAGAGATCTTCATTAGGACCTAAAGATGTTGCTTCCTGCAGACAAATGATCTGGGATTTACCAGATGGTGACAAGATAAACAACAACTAAAAGGATTCCAAACAGCTCTGGAGGTTTTCCCTCTTGTGTCTTTGTGACTTTATCTGCCCCACCCAGTAAGCACACATTTCCATTCCAGTACAACCATTTACTCAAGACCAGTCTTGTAGCCTGAACTGCCCACTTAAAGTCTGAAGAGACTGATGGTTTCACCGAAGCTCTAACCTATTCTGGTGCTCACTGAAGCCCTTCTCAGACATGGGATATGTGACGTTGCTTCATCAGTCTGTTTAGGCAACAGCTTCACTTTTACACTTCACTTCATTCAGACAAATGCATTAAAAAAAAGGCAGGAAGCTACTGTGCACAACAGATATTTGCCATAAATGCCAGATCAGACAGTACATGTGATGTATAATGCATAATAATACATTAGTAAACAAAACAGAAAATCACAATCTGCTATTGTGACTTGCCGTTAAATCCTGATCGTCCTGTCTCCATGTCGGGGATAGTTTATAATCCTAACTCACTCATTAATTCTCACAGCTAGCTCGCATTGTAGATTCTCATATGGATCCTGCAGGTATTTAATAAACTTAGAGGAAAAACTCCTAAAAACAACTGAAAGCAACAAACTAAACTGTTTGTGGCAGTAAACCTGTCGGAGCACTGAAGTGCCCTCTGACCTGCCATTAGATCCTGATTCATCCTGCTGGGGATGATTTATCAGTTGCTGCTGTTGTTCCATGTGCGTAAATGCATGTGGATCCTGCTGCTGTCTGATGCTGCAGGTGTTTAATAAACTCAGAGGAAAGACTCCTGCAAACAGCTGGAAGCAACAAACACAACTTCAGCTCCTGTTGCACTTTATTTTTGTGTCTGCTCCAGAATCATTGCCGTGGAGTTCTATTTTTCCGTGGATGTAAAATCCATCCCCTGAATTGCTTCACACAACTCAATGTAATGGCAGGAAGTGCAGACAGAAAGGGAAGCTGACACGATTTCAGATTAAAAGAGAGGAGTGCATGTCTGCAAAGGGCTTCGTAGACTCTTCTGTCCTTCAGTCACTCCCACAGTGCATGCTCTCAGTTCATACATTAACCTTTAGCACGTTAGCTCGGCACCGTCATGCCGTCCGTCTATTTTTTCTGTTTTCTTTCACAAGAAACTTCTTTAAATGCTAATTAACAAACTCACAAAAGTGCTCCCCAGACAAAAAAACATAAGAAATAGTATCTTCAGTAAAGCATTTGCCCAAATCTTCAGAGGTAAACTAATTGCTTTGTTTTGTGTTTAATTTATTTCACTTGCCTCCTTCATTTCCTGTCGATGTGAGATAGGTGAGAGTACAGCGAGGGAGCAGAAGAAACAAACATGAAAACAGACAAATGCTGCCTCCCGCTTTGAAGTGCAGTATCTCCGCACTATTTCATTCACAGTTGTGTGTTTCTTTGTTGCCTGTAATTTTCGTGTAGTCTTGAAAGAAATCGATGAAGACGATTGTGGCACTGAAGTAGCTGAAATCACACTCGGTTCTGTTCATGTTTTCCGCCCTAAACGTCCACTTTCTCTCATTTCCCTGCAGCTGTATGCAGCGCATTCGTATTTTGTTTTGCTCTGGATGTATGTGTTGTTGTTTTTTTGTATGTCTGTGTGTGTGTTTGTGACAAAGTTCAGGAGTGTGTGTCTGTGTTTGGCATCTGTATACATGCATCATGGCGTGTGTGTGTGTGTGTGTGTGTGTGTGTGTGTGTGTGTGTGTGTGTGCATGTCAATGTGAAAGACGAGGGTAGACTAGGTTGCCCTCCTGTTCTTTCATCTTCTTCAGTGCAGTGGTCTGGCCTGGCAGGGGAGCTGCGGTTACCAGTCCCCGGAAAATAAAGCTGTACGCANCAGGAGTGTGTGTCTGTGTTTGGCATCTGTATACATGCTTCAGTGTGTGTGTGTGTGTGTGTGTGTGTGTGTGTGTGTGTGTGTGTGTGTGTGCATGTCACGGGGGGAGGTGGCACATGAAACGGTTGCCCTCCTGTTCTTTCATCTTCTTCAGTGCAGTGGTCTGGCCTGGCAGGGGAGCTGCGGTTACCAGTCCCCGGAAAATAAAGCTGTACGCAGCAACTGGCAAGCTGAGGGAGGGAGGGAGAGGAGAGGAGAAGGAGAAAGAAAGGATAGAACAAATTAAGGATGGGTGGAGGTGAAAGAAAAGGAGGAAGTCGGGATTTATTTTTTGTATCCCGCACACTGTCGTAACTTGTAAAAATACATTCATTAGCAGCGCTTCGGAGCGAGAGCTTCATCGGGCTGATGGTTGAGCACAAAAACAGAAGCCATCTTAAATAAGGAGCGGCTGTAAGTCAGCCAGTGAAAATCCTCCACGAATCATAGAGAAGCATGAAATACAGAATACGCAGCAGAAAATAAGAATCGTAAACGTGTCACAAACATTATCTACACACATGATTCATGAATAAACCACATTTAAGAACAAAAACTAGACGTACAGGTTGCAGATAAATAGATTCTAGATATCCACGAGCTCACACGTGTTACAGTCAGCAACATAACGTGCAAAGAAACACGCAAACTGTGTTGGTAGAAGAATTATGCAGAATAACCTGCAGTTGCAATGAATGCATTCCCAAGAAACATCACTTAAACTAGATAAATACAGCAAAGAAGAAAAGATAAACACCCATTATGAATCATCAGAATAATAAATTACCTCGAGACCTCCTCCCCAGAACTGTGTAGAAACACAGTCAGCATCTAAGCACCAGCAGCACTGGTGCATAAATAAGACAAATCAACAGGTCACAACAGGAAATAATGTGTGTTCGTGTATCGATTTGTACACCAGACTGTCGGATTCATGTCTAGTTTTAAAATAGAAAGGAAGACGAGTATGTTCGCTAACAGATGTTATTATATTTTCTGAATGTGACAGATGCTAAAAGCAGTAAAGGTTTCCAAAGAAGAAGAGCAGACAGATATCTCAGTGACGAGGACATCAGTAGGGATACAGTAAATGTGAGAAACTCTTTAGACAGTGTGAGGAAACAATTAAAGATTAGATTCTTCTGCACGTTTTTGCCTCCATCTTGCCCTGTGGTAACCATGGTGATGGTCCCAGTAATGTACACTCGATACCTCAGCAGTACTCTGCAGTACAAACAGGACTTAAGGCTGCCTGCTCTGTCCAGATCTCTATCTTTCTCACACATCATATATATATAAATATATATATATGTAGACAGTATATATGCTGTGTATCTCTTCCCACTGGTGTGTTGGTGTGTATGTGTTCCTTATCTGTGGCTTCGCCCAAGTGTGTGTGCGTACTTGAATGCAAACTAAGTTGTCTCCTCTGTCTTGTCTTCTAAGCGTCTCGGTCACTGTGTGCCGCATGCGGCGACACTTTCTTTTGTGTAAAGACGCTGTTTATACTCATTTTCTGCCTCTTTCTCTCTCTCCAGGTACAAACAGTAAGCATGTGGATCTGAAGCTGAAGAAGCTGGTGGAGGTCAGCCCAAGAGGAGTCACTTCCCCTTCATCCCCGTCCTCCACCTCCTCCTCGTCCTCACCCACTGCCTCCTCCACCTCCCCACTCAGCCCTGCAGAAGGACTGGAGGTACACACAAGCTCACCTCAAAACACCCACTGCGTATCCTTAGTTTTTTTTCCCGCCTCTCTTGGCTTTCATCTCTCTGTCTCTTCCTCGGTACACCATCAAAGGTTTAGTCCAATCAATTAGGTCCGATTGACCCAGGTTGTCAGCCAGCTGACCCTTTGTACACATCAGTCAGTTGGAGCGCTTCATGTAAGGCTATAGTTTATCCCTCTCGTGTCCATATGACTGTCTAAAGCCATGACACACACACACACACTCTCAGTGGCATCACAATGCTCTACATAACACGTAGCAGTCCCCTCTATTGACCATGACCTTTTCAGACAGTTGTGTGTGGATGTGTGGGGACGGGGGGCTGCTACGGCTGCTTGTGTCTATATCTTCTGATGTGAATATTGAGTCAACAACGCAGTCGGCCAGTCTGAACATCTGTTTAATTGATTTTGAATGTCAAGTGGAATAAGGCGAGTGTGTGTGTGCGTGTAGCCGTCAGAACAAGCGAAACCCTCTGTGCTTATGGCGACACAGGGTGTCTTTGATCATCGATTCACATAAACACCCTCTTGGGTTCAAAGCCTAAAAGGCTTAGTCCTTTATGGCCAGAGGAGTGCGTATGCGTGCTTGACCCTCGCTGAAGAAGAATCTCCGTTTGGCTGACACCTGACCCGACTCAAAACACCAAAACCCAAAAGTAAATACGTCCAGGTCCTCGCTCGGCCTCATATTTGTGAACTTCAGCACCTGAACGTGGGAGTTTGAGTGAACGTGACACATTATATGCATTAAAAACATTCAGTTTTCAGCTGTTAAACTATACCTGGAGCCGCTGTCAGTCCTGTGATACGTGGTGAAGAAAAGTACACCCCTGCTGTTAGATCCTGATCCGTTCTGTCTCCATGTCAGGGATATATTATAATGTTAAGGTATTAATTAGGTTGCTGCTGTTTCTCTGTGTGCGTAAATGGAAGCACCTCTCTCTGTTTGGAGACGCTTGTATGGATCCTGCTGCTGTCTGATGCTGCAGGTGATTACCGTAAATTCCAGACTATAGATGCACCTGAATATAAGCCGCATCCACTAACTTTAAAAAGAAATATTCAGGCTGCGCTTGTCTATAAGCTGCAGGTGTCCACGTTGTAACAGGAGATATTTACACAGAAAGATTTTTTTTAAACTTTTAATTAAATACGCACCAGTAACATACACTAATGCATAAATGCTTTTTTCTGAATAGTTCCTGTAACACGGCTGGTTAAGGAAATAAAAACTACAGCAGCCTACCAGGAAAAGTCATTGATGCTATCTTCATCTTCCTCCTGCACTAAAACCACTGAAGTCGTCTTCTTCAGTGTCTTCAGGAGCTGAACAGCCTCAGAATTACTTCGTCACTTCCTCAGTCTCTCTTTCGTTGTTGCTCTCAATGTCACTTTGGTCTCGAGGCAAACTCGTAAAAATCCATAAATTAGCCGCATCGTTGTTTAAGCCGCAGAGTTCAAAGTGTGTGAAAATAGTAGCGACTTATAGTCCAGACATTACGGTAATAAAGTCAGAGGAAAGACTCCTACAAACAGCCGGAAGCAACAAACTCAGTTTCTCTTAACATTGAACCTGGATTGTATTCATTATTGGGAGGCTCATTAATTGAACCTGATCTGCCTTTATTGCAGTAAAGTTTTATTTAAGTTTTAGTTTCCAGTAGATGTGAAACTGTTGGACAAAGCAGACAAGAAAAATGTTTCATGATTTTGCTTGTGTCATGTTAAAGTGATACGAAAGTGTTATGAGGTTCGTCCTTGTGACTTTTCGGACAACTAAGCGAGGTGTTCGTTCAGTAGGTGGTCACTGGTGTGAATGTGAAGCTGCACCAGTTTGAATCGGCGCTGTTTACAGTTAACATGAGCACAAACAACTGTGAGTTTTCTGTCCTTTAAAAGAAGGATAAACCGTCTTGTCCCGGAGGGTTGGGCCTCCCAGAAGTCCTTCAGGCGGCTGGATCGACCTGCAGGAACATCACACACACACACACACACACACACACGTCCTCCCTCTCATTAGCGATTGTGTGTATGCGCAGCCTCGGTAGCGCACGATAAGGCCGTGCGACGCTCAGCAGACTGCAACATTAGTCACGCAGCCCCCTTGCATGCGCATTCACAGAGCGGCGCGCACCAAAAGCACTGAATCACCACGGCCACAGCTTACCACAGCGATGATAGCGGCGATAAGGGACACAGAGGAGGCAGGAAGAAAGTACGACGGGGGGGAAGGAGGGGACGCCCCAATATCTGCTTGTCCCAGAGCGCAGAGAGGAAACAGAGGGGAAGCCAAGTGGGCAGGTGCTCTGGATACGTGGAAGTGATTGTATAGTTGGTTTTGGTTGAAATGTGACCGCAGTTCAACTTTTATCTGAGTGGCTGTGACTTAGTTAAACAATCCAGTGTGTCCAGCGTCCTAATCAGTCACCCCGGGGATTTACTAAATCAACCGCTCCCTGCACATATTGCAGTCCTTGCAGTTTTTTACCAGTCACTATCGTAAAAAAAATAATTTTAAACATCCTGAAAATATGACAAGGATAGGAGCATTAATCCAATAAATCCGTTGACATCCAATTATCACTGATTGTTTCACTTTTCCTGAAACAAACATGTTAAATATTCATAAAATGGGTGTTGGGATGGATCCCTGTCTGCTGCAGCGTTGGATGGATGCTGAAGTTTTAAGTTGCTCTGCCTTTCAGACTTACACGTCCCATATTGGATCATATGACTGTCTAATAACAGAAGAAAGATGCCCGCCTTGTGGCTCCCGGATAGATGAACTGATTAAACGAGCACCAAATTCACTCAGAGCCACGTCACCTGATTTGCGTTTAGCATGCAGTTTGGAAAAAAAAGAACAGTAAAATCAGTGGTTTAACCATCTGTGATTTACCTGAAAATGTTTTAGTATAAAATATGGATATTTATAAAGATATTAGTGAAATCTTAGCTTGATGTTTGAGTTTTTATTTTATACAGTTTTAAGTAAATCAGAGATCTGCTGATTTGAGATGGAATAAAGTGAATTTGTGAATCAGTATTAGTCTGAAAATGTGCATCTCTGTGACATAAACATGACTTTTGTGTATTTCTGCTCTTTACTCGAGCTTCTTAGGAGCTTCCTTTTAAAAGTTGCAGCCTTTATTTTGATGACAACCATGTTTTGATTTTAATTTTTAACTTTTTTGTCACTTTATATAGAATAGAATAGAACTTTATTGATCCCTTTGGTGCAAACGTCAGGGAAATTGTTGAATATATGTATAATGTTGAATACTGGAAGATCGCAGCAAAACCTGTCAGATGCTAAACTATAAAAACATCTTTTGGCTGAACAGAAACAATTCATCAACAATTTGCATGAATAAATTCAGTTATAACAACTTCCAGGAAAATGTTGTTTAACCAATGAACTCCAACTCACTCTTGGCAGTTAAAGGGGTTTTTAATTACTAAATATTTGGTCGGACAAACGCAAGTTTTTAAGTTGATTGCTCATAAAATGAAGTATTTCCACTTTGTTTTAAAGGGATTTAGACGTGCTGTAGTTAATTATGAATTATGAACACAAGTTTTTAAGTTGATTGCTCATAAAATGAAGTATTTCCACTTTGTTTTAAAGGGATTTAGACGTGCTGTAGTTAATTATGAATTATGAACACAAGTTTTTAAGTTGAGAACCGTTAAAAAGTGCCTCAATTAAAATGTTTTCAGCAGTTTTTAGATTTTTTTTATTGGTTTGTCCCTGTAGTCGCTTTAAAGAAATTAATTAATTCAATGGCAAAGGCAGGTAAATTTTTTTATTTTATGTTTTCAAATGCAATTTTATCTGAATTTGTACGACTATTTGTCTGAGTTGGAGAGGGAACTTGAACTCTTGAGCTTATGGTGAGAATAAATGAAGTTATGAAGCCGGTTTCATTAAGTTAGAACTCCTTCAATTTAGTTTTACGTTTAGTTTAAATTACACACGATATTAAACTGATGTGCAACTCGTTTAAATAATAATAAATTAATAAATTAGATTTTTTTTTCTTGGAGCCATGCATTTAATGAAGTTGTGGTGTTGTTATGAGCGTGCCCAACAGTTTAATGTCAGTGTTTGTTTGTTTGTTTGTTTGTTTTTGCCTCCTCAGTAATTTAAATGCGCTCTGTGCCACTCTGGATTACCTCCACGCTTCCCTCTGAATTCACACACTGGCGTACGGACGGTGGCGCTTTGCCGCTCTAAAATGTTTAATTGGGCTTTTTGTATATAGGCCTTCATAAATAAATTTGCCTCAATTTGACTTGACATAAGGCTTTAAGTGGCTGCTGGACGCTGACAGGCTAATAGACAAAACAAAGTGAGAACAGGCTAATTGCTGACATTGTTTTTGAAAGTCAATAATCTGAAGCTAAACTAACAACTCCCCGTCTGCGCCCTGCTTCCCTCCCACACTGTCTCTATTAGCCCTCCTCGCTCTGCACACCCTGCTTGACTATCTCCCTCCGTCTCAAGCGGTGGAACATGTTTGCCCTAATTGTCGACTTTATTACACGTTTCGCCGTCTTATTAGCGTTGCCACAACGTCAATCTCAGCCCGAGTCGGTTTCTTTTCCACTCGGCTTGGCATATTTGGAGGCTCGGTAATAAAGCATTTCTGCATGCCGTTTTTGATAGTGGGAGAAGCGAGCGTGTAGCTTTTTAACACGTGTTCACTTTGAAAACAATAGCGTTTTTTTGCATTTTGCATAATCTGAATATATTTTCTGGCTCGAGGTTTTGTTGAAAGTCAAGTTAATTGCTTCCTTTTTGTCTCTCTCATGAGCGAGGCAGGGAATGAATGAGTGCACGTGTGTGGTTCTGAGAGTGTGTGTGTGTGTGTGTGTGTGTGTGTGTGGTTGTGTATGTGTGTGTGGTTGTGTCTGTGTGTGTGGTTGTGTATGTGTGTGTGTTCTGAGTGGGGTTCATGCAAACAAACAAATCACAGTGAAGCTAACATGTCGACTCCTCGCCGATTCATCTCTCGACCTGTCAGTAGGTGTGTTGTTTACATGTGAGCTGATTTTGTTTTGTGTTTTTTGTGGTCGTGATAATCACAGAGCTGCTGTGAAATCCTGAAACAGGCGTCTAATAAGCGCATGAGAGCAGATCTGAGCGGCTGTAGAGTCAAACATCATTAACAGACGAGACGTGGAGACGCAGCAGACTAATTGCTGACGTTGTTTTAAAAGTCGGTCATGTGAAGTTGCTCCGTTTGTGTGACTTGTGTTTGTTTCAGACTCTTTACAGGAACAGTTTAAACTCGTGAAGCTACATCACTTTGTTGTGTCCGTCTCTCCCCATCCCTTGGGTTACGTCATCAGCTGTATTTCGCCCCTCACGTTACATTTAGATTTGATTATTTCGTGATTTAATTGAAGTTGTTTCTAATTTGAATCCTTTATGAGTCCCACACGGTCACAGCAGCAAAGTGACAGTAAGAAAAGCAAGCAAACACAACTATACATTACAGAGGTGAGGTATATACACTGTATAGACAATATAAATAAGAAAACAAGGAAAACAGAGGAGCACTGTAGTTGTCTGGTTGAGCAAAAAGGGAAACATTTAGAATCCAAACCAGCCACAGACATTAAACACTGAACAACACACTGGAAGGTGGCGACAAAACTGCACTCTGTAATCGATCTTTTTGAGTTTTGACAACTTCTACTGTGATGTTGTTCAACTAACAAACTCCATTGATCCAGTGGAAGTGGCTCTCCCTTAATAATTAAACTGGTCAGTACTATATCGGCCCTTACGTTACAGTTACATTTGATTATTGCATCATTTCTGAGTCCTTGTGGATGGTGCAGGTGCTCTGTTTTCTAACCAGGTGACCAGAAATGACTTTTCTAACTGCTGTATTATAACCCTGTGTTAAATGGTTGTGTGCAGTACTTTATCAAGCTGAATGTACATCTCCTCTGTCTGGCAGAACAACGCTGAGGAGTTACGAGCAGAGCGACTCCGCAGAGCCACGGAGAGGCTGCGAAGCCCGGTGGTCTTCAACAAGGATTCTGCGGTCAGGAAAACTCAGCTGAAGTCCTTCAGCCAGTACGTGGAGACCAGACCAGGTGGGAAACAACACAAACACACACATACACACAATGCATACGGTGTTTAACCAGGGAGGCGTGTTTGCACAACTCGACTCACATACATCGGATTCACACGGAGCAGTCGAGGATGTGACATTTTCAGCAGCACTTCTGTAAAAGACGACACTGGGAACAACCTGGAATTTCTGCATCTGTTCATTTAAAACTAAATTCACGTTGATGCAGCTTAATGAAACTGACTTGATAATGATCCTCTGTCTTAACATGTCTGAGCAGTTTCTCAGGGTTAAGACTGATCAATAAAAATACCTTTGATTGAAAAGGAGAAGTTAATTTCCCAAACTCACTGTAGTTTGTTGGTTTAACATAAAGAAGTTCTCATAATTCAATGCAAACGTTTTATTGTTGTGTATGAATCAGGGAGGCAGCGTCTGCATTTTGTGTTTTCATTTGATGCATTTAAATAAAACTATCAAACTATTTCCTTATTGCAGTTGAAGTGTCTATTGCTGGTACAAATCACTGCCATGTTATCATCAGCATAACTTCCTCGACTTCTGTTCGCTTTTCGCTGCTGAAGTCAGCTGTTCTCGTGCTGACGTCTGTGTTTCGTTGCTGCAGAGGTGAAAAGACAGAAGTCTATCCCCGAGGATCTGAAGAGGGCCGAGGAGGACAGAGGCTCACCGACGGACATCGACATCCGCAGACCGTTTGAAGAAGAGGTTTGTCCGTTTTTCATGCCTTAAAGTTGATCCTACCTGCACCAACAAACGGGTAATATTTATGTTCTACACAGAGGAAGAATGTGTCAGAACTCTTGGCTGTTTATTTACTTTGTGAGCAGCTTCAGGTCTGACATTAAACAAGACGTAACGTTAAGAGTCTTTCATCAACTTTTAGCCTCTCCTGTCTTGTTACTTACTGTCGAGATTTCAACACATGCTTTAGTTATAAAATCACCTGTAGACAAAGTTAAAGATGCAGAAAGCAGCAGTGTGTTGACGTTAAATCTGTTGGGCTACATGTTTATAGACAACAGACTTCTTCTTCTTCACAGATTTAAGCGCAAAGTCCCGACAAGTTTGAACAACTTCTTGCAGTTTATTGATTCTACCAGTGCACAGAAACACGAGGTATCAGGGCTAGAAGTAGTGACTACTTGGGTTTGTCTATTTTTTCAGTGCATACCTTAAAGTTTAGCCTACCTAGAATTGTGCACAGATGCAAGTAGCGGAGAGAGAAGTCACAACTCTTGGTTCTGCTGCGTCACCGATTCTTCATTTGCTTTGGTACGTTGGTCAACAGACCTCTTCTGCTGCTGGAGTTTGACCAACTCGCACCAGTTTCTCAGTGGAACCGGGACGCTGGGTGTCAGGGCTGTCACGTTGGAGGCCCTTTTAAAGAGGAATTTGTCTGTTTTTTTTTAATGCATTATGTTAAAGTTGATCCTACTTAATATTATAACGAGAGACAAATATAAAAAAGGCAGACGACTGTAATCACAACTCTTGATTTGCTGGATATTTGCCAGCAGCTTTTATTTGCTTTGTGTGCAGCCTCGGTTCTGTTCAGGGCCTTAACTGATCCTACTCGGCCTTTCTTAATTTATTTTTTGTCTTATTTTGCCTCCTTCTCCTTCACACTGTCCACCTCAGAGCCTCTAACTCCCTTCACTCTGTGCCACAGACATCTAAGCACTGATCTAACAGGCTGCCATTTTAATACCAACAACGCTAGACGTCGGCTGCCGTTCAGAGATGTGTCTTTGCGCCGAAGTCGTCCTTCAAGTGCGCACAAACGCTGTCTCCTCAGCACAAAGAGTGTGTTTATAGGGATGCTGAGTGTGTATTTGAGCGTGTGCGCCACCGGAGACCACGGGGTGAATCTGTCTTCGCGAGCAGCCTCTTCTACCCTCGACCCTCCGCCCTCCGCCCCAGTCCCATCCACGCACACACTCGGCGCCCTCCTCCCAGTGCCTGGGCCCCAGGGTTAATGGGTGTTCAACCTTTCCATTATCCCGATCAGCCAAGAATTACCTGCTGAATGATGTTTGCATTAATATAATATATATGGTAATTTCCCTCCTCTTAATTACGGCTGGGCCGAGCGCGGCAAGGGGAGTGGGCTGATCATGTGTAAAATTGATTTGCCAAGGAAAAATATGGTGATAGAGCGAGAGCGCGCAGGGAGGAGGAGGGAGGGGAGGCTGCTGGGAATCAGCACACACACACACACACACACACACACACACACTTGCACAAATCACACGTGCGCAGAGCTGCACACACTCACATGCTGGAAGGAGTACAGGAAAAAGTGCTGGCCTGGGTGGAATGGAAAAAAAAAAAAAAAACTTTCTCTCTCCTGCTCACTAGTTCTCCTTCCCATTAAGAAAAACGAAGTGCATCAGCAATAAAATGGAGATATTTTTTCGGATGCATCCTCAGTAGTGAATTTGAATAAACATTTTCCTCACTCAGGAGGAGCTTCTCTGAAGAATAGCAAACAGCCAGGAGACAGAGGTGAAGAGGGGTCAGGGATGGAGTGTCTATTAAGCGCCTATGGTTATGGAGCGATGGCTGTGTGTGCGGTTGTGTAGCTGTGGCTGCTGTCGGTGTGTAGGACTGCAGTGTGTGTGTGTGTGTGTGGAGCTGAATGAAGGTAGTTTAAGAGACTATGGAGACATTTAACCTGCTGGCAGCTAAAGAGACACGACAAAAATAACATCTTAGTGATGAATCTACCTGTACAATAATTTTTTTCACCATCAGTTTAACATGCCTGGACACCTTCTGACAGACTGGTGGTTATAAACACCTTTGATTGTGAATGTCTGTGCCCCTGGACAGTCTTTATTACAAATTAGCAAAGTTACAGACGGCAGAAAGCAGAACTATGTTGACAGTCCAGTTGTTAAAAAACTGTGCAGATGTGATTACTACAGCGCATTAAACATTGAACACAAGTTTGAACAACTGGCACCATTTTCACAGTTTATTGACTGACTCTGAACAGAGATGCTGAGTATCAGGGCTATGCTGACAATCAAATAATCTATCGATCATTGAGACAAATAGTCAGCTTTTCAGACTCTGAATTGCAAAATAACTCAGTGACTCTTATTTAGCTTCTTATGTATTCTAATTGAATTTCCCTTCTGGGATAAATAAAGTATTTTTTTTTCATGTAGCTTTTAAATTAGCCTGAGGTGGTTTAGGCTCCTGCTAACTAATACTAAAGACAGTAAAGCTGCTTTTTTGTGTAATTTTTTTTTTTATTATACTTGTGTGTTTATATGAATTGCTGCTACAGCACTGTGATTCCTGTTAGCCAGTTTTGTTATATTTCCATTGAAAACTCATGCAGCCGCTCTTCCTGAATGCTAGCCACACAGACAGGGTTAGTGAAAACCTGGAGCCCACGATGCGTCAGCTGGTAGCTTCCTGCACCTGCAGCTAACTGATGGCAGGTTTAAAATCACCTCCTATAGTTTCTATGATAGCTTAGTGAGAATGAGGCTCTAACTGGCTGCATTTTGTCAACTTGTCTTGACTTCCATATTAGATATCGCTAACGAGCTTTCTGATCTGTTTCTAATCAAGCCGTCCGATTCTAGTTTAAAAAACCTCGTCACTGCTTTAGCTTGCTGGGGCTTCCAGACCTGTGATACACCGACTAAAAGCCTGGTTGTAGTTTTACTTTCTCCTTCCTGCAGTTCTTCTGCTCTGAGATCAGCAGTGCGTCTGTTCATATGATCACATCCGGCAGCGACACCAACATCACAAACAAATCGACGGTTAAATTCTTCAGCAGCTGATTTGATCATCGATTCTTCTCGACTGCATTGATTATTGGTTGCGTCCGTACTAGTCACACATCAGTGATGGTCGCTGTCAAGAAAAATGATAAGTAGGCGGCGGAAAGGGGAAAGGTCAGCAGGCGATTATTGGCAGGAGGCGCTTTGAATATAGGATTCTGAATTGAGTATTGGAAGCTACAACTCGATGAGGATGTTACTGATTATTCAGTGATTAATCCACTGAGATAACGACATCAGAGAGAAACTGATTAAAGCCCCCGATCCAGGTACAGTGAAGGTGATTGTTACCTTTGACACATGAGGTTTGAGATCATTGAGTATTATCTCCTTATGTCAGTGAATATTTCAGATGCTGCTTTTTTTCTCTGATCCCCTTTTCAATATCCACAATTGCAATTTTTATTTACAAGGAGTTAAAGTAAATCAATCGCAGATACTTGATAGACGCCAGATGTTTGCACAACTTCTGTGTGTACAGGAAACTTAAAGTTCTCGAAAAGTCACATTGGGTGTAGTTTTTTAGTTATGATTCTGAGTGATTGCAGTGTTTACTTTCTGATTCAAATAATAGATGTGTGCTCATTTTGTTTCTGATAATTAAGTTGTTGTGCAAATATGTGGTGTGTGTGAAGTCTGTGTGGTCTGTTCACTTTAACACCTCGTGGATAAAAGCTGCAAAACTGGAAAATAAAAGAGGATTTTATCTGAAATATCTACTGATTAGAAGACATATGTGTGCCTCCTTCATCACCTAAGAATCACCTTTACCTGCACTGGGCCTGAATCAGAGGCTCACGGTTCACTGATGCAGTTATTTTACTTCTCATATCTAAATTAGTTGGAAAAAGCAACAACATCAACATTTTTTTTTAACAGCTAATCGATTGTTGATCAACCACTACACCTAATTAGTGCAGAACTGTTTAAATCCTCTGTTGGTTGTGAATAAAGGTTGAGTTGAATACATCTTCAGTCAATGCACTGCAGGTTGATAGTTCAAGTTCTAAGAGGCAGCAACAGTTGTTTGTGTTTCATGTCGGGGAGATTTGTGGACTTTTGCACATCTGTTCACACATTTTAAAACAATTCTCCCTCTTCTCCCCTCTTTCTCTTTTTAATTTCTTTCCCATTCTCTTCTCTTTCTATCCCGTCATCTCCTTTCTACCTCATTCAACTTCCTCTATTCTCCTCCTCCGGTCCGTCTTATCCCTCCATCCTTTTTTTTTTTTTTTTCTTCTCACCCCTGTCTCTGTTTAATGCTATATCTCTCTACTCTTTCATAACTCTGTCTCTGTTTAATGCTATATCTCTCTACTCTTTCATAACTATTCTCCCTCTCTCTCCCTCCCTCCCTCTCCCTCTCTCTCTCTCTTGGTTGACAGAAGGCGTTCAAAGACACCAGTCAGTATGTGGTTGGGGAGCTGTCTGCACTGGAGAGCGAGCAGAGGCACATAGACGCCCGAGCAGCTCGCGTGGAGAAGAGGCTGCGCTATCTCATGGACACAGGTACCCCAAGCCCAATTACACTGGAAAAACTGTTTTGGCAAATTGAGCGTACGCACGCACACACACATCCACTCGGCGAGCTCGTGTGTGCGTTTATGTGTGCGTTCGAGAATCTTTGAAGCCTCCCCCCCCGCTCCCTCCCCTCCCGCCTCCCTCTCGGTTGAATGTTGCGCGACGGAGCGCTGGGTGGATATGAAAGGAGGGGATGGAGGGGAGTGAGGGAGGAGGTGGAGAAGGGAGGGGAAGGGTTGGATGGGGGGGAGGCAGAGAGATGGGGGTGTGTGGGGGCGGAGGGGGGGAGTGTGTCTCGGGGATGGGAGAAGAAGGGAGACCTCTCTGGGCTGGGGTGATAAGGGAGCCCTTCATGGGGGAAACGATAACTGGGTGCGATAGCGGAGCCCCAGCCGAAGTCTCCGCTGCAGCCGTTTGCCAGCCGCGGCCCCAGTCAGCCAGCCAGCCAACCAGCCAGCCATCCAGCCAGCCATCCAGCCATCCAGCCAGCCATCCAGCCAGCCATCCAGCCAGTCAGTCAGCCAGCCATCCAGCCAGTCAGCCAGCCAGCCTCCACACTATTGAACAGTGCGCTCAGCCATGCACGGCTACACACACACACACACACACACCCTCCTTCCCCTAGTACATATCTGGCCTTCATTGATATGCTGTATAAGGAAAGACGGGGGTGAGTTAAAGGGAGGAGAGAGGGGAGAGGCAAAGAAATGGCAAAGAAGAGGGGGAAAGAAAAAAGAAAAAAAAACACGAGGCAACACAACATGAGCACTGACACAGTTCACAAATCCACAACACACAAATGCTCACACAGCCGCTGCATGCAAAGTGCAATCTGGTTTGGCGTACGGAGCCGGATTCGGAAGGTTTTTATTTAAGATTTGGCCGGGGGTAAAGCCTTGTTAAGACATGAGACAGTGTGCCGAGCCAAAAGAGGGGCCTTGGCTCCGTTAAGTCCCTAACTGAAATTGGAGAATAGCATCCCATTTGTGATACTAAACCGTCCCGTGCCTCACCCAAGAATGCTGGAGCGGGAAAAAAATAAATAAATAAAATAAAAAAAAACACGCTTCCAGGAAGTGTAAAATTTTGATGTTTGCAAATGTTCTGAAAAAGTGCAGGTACAGTATCCGCTGTAGTAATTTAGTAGCAGCTCTCATGCTCTTTCTGATATATCGGCGTCTAACTCGGTGGATTTAGCCCCAAAATCCTAAAAAAAAAAAAGGCGACACAGGGGGAGGATAGAAGAAGGGGGTGTTTTAGAAAAAGGAAACTGGGGCGGTGGGATTTGCGCTCACCTTCCCCATCCCATTTGGGTCCTGATATCGAGGCTATCTCTGCTGTTTGTTGTGTTCGCCTTCCTCCCTCCCTGCCTCTGTGCCCTCTCTCCCTGTCGGAGCGAACGCCATTGTGTCAATCTGAAGGGCTGTTTTTTTTTCCTTCCTTCTTCTTCTTCACCCACTGTTAAAGCAGCCACTAGCCAGCAAGACGCCAGGTTATTTACTTTCAAACACCTTCAGCCATAAAGATTTCTTCTCTTTATATAAATACACCTGCAGTCCCCCTCCTGAAAATACGATTCACTGGAAAAAGGACGAGGGCGACGAGAGGAAGGCGAAAATAATAAAAGGATATCATGAAGAGAAATTCGCTTTTCTGCTGCTTGTAACATAAGTGAGGGAAGGAAATCTAGAAAATGGGGTTTCCACAAGTCGACACGCTGACTGCTGTGGGATGGGTGATGTGGTGATACGACTGGGAAGACAATGTTCAAATTAGTACTTAAAGTCCACACTGGCATTGCAGAAAGAGATGAAGAAAGTTCCCATATGATGCTGTTGCTCACTTCCCTCAAAGTGCATTTCCGTTTCCATATCTCGTTTTGCAGCACTCGTCCCAAAGAGCCACCCAACAGGTTATAGATTGAGCCTCTAGGCCGAGCTCTGGAGGCGTCAGGCTGACAGCTGGTCACTAGACTAACCTTTTATCACCTGAGCAGCTGAGGTCACCTTTCTATACGCTGTCATAGATGATAGATATTTTTCTGTGCGCCCACAGTGTCTGATTGAAGCCGAGGCTGATTGGCTGTAAGCAAAATATCTGCTATTGATCCGTAACACCTCGCTGGCGCCTCTACTTTACGAGAAATTACCACCAGCTATCAAAAAAAATGTTATTTCCACTCTGGCGGCCGGAGTTTGGCAACGAGCCAGCCGACACCTGGAACTTCCTCCTGCTTCCCTCAGAATCTACTCATTTGGTTGAATTTTGCATCTGAGCACAAAATAACAGTTGATGAGCGCTTTCTGATGTTCTCAGACGCCTCCCTTGTAGCGTTGACTCGGTTCTGTGTCAGCCAGATTAAAGTTCAGCAGAGCGGATCGCCTGCTGTTGCATCTTTTAGGCACCTGATCAGTGCGCCCGCTGGACAAAGCATCTCGTCCCTAATGATTCGCCGGTGTGACCCAACACCAGGTTGTGAAATCCACCGCCGATGTGTATCTGCAGCCTGCACTCGTCCTGTGTTTCTGCACAAAGTAACCCAACACTAAATCACCCATATCATCCCCTGTGCTCTCAATGATACAATCCCCCGAGCGCTTAAGGACACGTACTGGCCAAACTTAAGGCGCTGCAGCTCCGGACACAGTTGTCTTTACTACCTAAAGATAAAAACCACATCAGCTGTCGTCACATGAACCAGGCGTTAAAAACAGTTTGATACCCTTGTGATCTACTGAAGCCCCAAAGATAGTCGTCTTTTTTCTGCTTTACACATAAGCAACACAGTTCTGCATCAGCGGCCGGAGCTGATGCTTCTCTAAGCTGCTCTGTCATCACCTTCCTTACGTTAAAACAGAAACACAACCTCTCGGCCCGCTCCGCTGTCAGCTTTAATTTCACTACCAGACGCCAAACATCTGCAGAGTTCGGTCAGAAGCAGAAAAGTTCTTCTCGGACGGAAACAAATTTTGTCGCAATCTTCCGGCGTTTTAATTGAGCTGCAGTTCAAATGTGATCTCGGCGGAAGATTAGATAATGAGCAGCTCAATTGGTAGATTTTCAAACGGGAGGAGAGCGTGGGTCAGCACCTTGAAGCAGAGGCAGGCTGAAGATAATGCGGAGAGTTTAGCCGGCCTGCATTCTGAATTACTGACCAGCTCTTTAGTGGCTGCTAGCTCGCATGCTAACTAGCGCACGCTCTCCAGAGATCACATGACTCAGAGCTCTGGAGGTAAGTTTGGGTGAGCTCAGTGTGCAGCGCTGCAGGACTGACAGGCAGATGTGAGCAGACAGACCGACTGACCCATGACTGATTGTTCATCTCTGCTCCAGCAGCAGAAAGCCTGGGAAGATCCACTGTGCTCGGCTGCTCCCTCCACCACATGCTTCTGTTTGATATCACATGCTTGTGCTTTGTCATTCACTCCTCCTTTTATTCTTTGCTTTTTTTTCGCTCTATTTAAAGATTTCCTCTTCTGTTTCGTGCATAATGTTCCTCGCATTGTTAAACTCTCTCTTTTTGGGTAACCTGTCTTTTTTTCCTTTTCTTTATTTTTGCTTCATTCAACCCTCCGTGCATCACTTTTCATTCGCTCTGCTCCTTTTTTTTTTTTTTTTTTTTTATCCCTGTGAATCTCAATTTCTCCATTCGTTCTCTCACCCTTGTTCCCTCCGTCTCCCTCCTTTTCCACTCCTCCTCCTCCCCCTCTCTTCTCCTCCTCCCCCCCGGTTTGGGCACAATGCAGCTTTCTGCGGCATTTTCTATTACGCAGCGGCCCTCCCCAGATGAATCCAAAGTAATTGGGGTGGTTAATTTATTTACTCAGAGGCAGTTCACAGCACATTAAATAATAGAGATAATTGAACAAGAATTGTCAAGTGTCTTCTGATATCAGACACATTACAGGAGGGAGTGTGCATAAAACTCCATTTCTATGCCCCCATTGTTTATGGTAATTAAGTACACAGATTTATTCCTTGGTTGCCTTCCAAGCTTATGGCAAGCGCCATTGTTGTCTTCTATTAATATGTAATCAGTAAATAGTTTAATTTTCTAATCTGCGGTTGGAGAATTCACTTTCTAACAACTCTTAATTACTGCTGGGCTCTAATGAGTCTCGCCATGCCGACGCAGCCAGCCAATCGGAGGCCGGGCCCGGGTCGGGGGGGAATTTGAATTCCTGCGGCGCCCCCCCTCGACTAATGAACTTGTTATTCTTGCACCACTGGGAGCACTGTCCTTCACACACACGCAACGTTAGGAGAACGTTTCACCTCCTGCAACAGACGGAATATTTGCAGGAGTTTATTGATTGTATGAGAAAACATATTCATTGCATGAGTCAGTTTTACTGCCAAGCTGTGGGTGTTAAAGTTTTGTTTGAGTATCAGACAACCTTCAGCTCTTCTGATTGTCTCCATTCAGATGCATGTTCTGCTGTGACCTTGGCATTGTGGTTTTCTAAAGGTATTGTCACACAGAAAAAAAAACACCACATCAGTCGCTCCTTATTGAAAATTCAGCTTCGGCTACGAAGAAGCATTCAAATGCGTCATGTAGCCTTCGCAGAAAATCCCCTGTTTGAATATATCGCCGCCACCCCCTACCTGGCCCCTGCACCTATTTACACACACCTCCCATTTCAAATAGCTATATAACCTGCAACAATGGACGCAATTATCCAAATAATGGCACTTAGCTGCACCGCAAAGCTGCCCCTCACCTACTGCGCATTCGATAAGAGATAAACAAGCACAGAGAGGAGAGAGAGGAGAGAATGAGTTTTAGCTCTCCTCAGATTAACATATGTTTAAAAATTGCACTCGAAGCCGATAAGATTGACACAGGGTTTTTATGGCGCGCGCTCCTTTAATCTGCCTTTGTGTCTGCGAGTCGACGAGAAGAGAATGGAACGAGGAGGAATCCAGCAAGAGCTTAATGCACTTTACACATGCGGCGTATCCCCGTCAGTATCTGAGAGAGGGAC